ACGCAGGGATCTAGGAGTTGATTGATGTTTGCGAGATAGGTGCCGTCCCATCCTCTTCCACGGTTTTCTTTATTAATTTTTAATAATATAAGAATTCAAGTTAAATAATTCAGCAAGGAATGAAAACCAGTAACCTCTTCTGTTTGTCCTTAAACCATAGCCCTTGACCACACACCCACTGAATTTAGGCATTTAAATTTGCTTCGCAACAAAAATAAACAGGCTCTGTCTTGCCTGTGACGCTGTTGAGTTTCGCAGTTGCATTTATTTGTTTAAGACTGTCTCACTGTGTAGCCCTGGCTGGCCTGGAACTCTTTGTGAAGACCAGGCTAGCCTTGAAATCATAGAGATTTGACTGCCTCTGTCTCAAGTGACAGGATCAAAGGCATGTGCCATCACGCCACGCCTGTCACTGGAATGCCATGGGCTCCTTCCGGGCCATTGGATCTAGGTTTTACCTCGCTTTTGTGGCTGAATCAAATCCCATGAACATTGGGTTATGCTTTCATTGTTCTCTACCGATGGGCCTTAATTGTTTCTAGATTTTACCTTGAAATATCTTTAGGCCTGGAAGCTGCAAACTGAAGCTCGGGCTATGTAATATCCTAGTCATCTACCCTGCGGCAGTGAAGCTGTACATCTTTGCTGCCTGGGATACTGCTGGGGGTTCTAACCGTGGCCAGTACACAGGGAAGAAAAACATTTCATCCTTTTGATGTCCACATCCGAGTAGGCCTTCCTATGTCTATTACTTATTGATTTTAATTCAGATGTCCCGTTTTTCAAATTGTTTCTTGAAGCCAGGCACTGTAGTGCACGCTTTCATTACATCACAGATGCCTCTGGTCCAGGAGCTGCTAGAGGGACCCAGCACTTGGGAGGCAGAGGCTTCTGATTCAAGACTGGTCTCGGTTTCATATGAAGTTCTAGTGAGTTCCAGACTAGCCTGGGCTACAGAGTAAGCCCTAGCCTCAAAACAAAAAGAAAATCTTATTAACTGATAAAGCCCTGAAGAACCTCCATCATTTGATCATATTTGATCATAGTTTGACTTTGTTTCGTTGTGTGTTGTATTTTTTTTTTTCGGGTGCTTGGAATAAACCTCAGCCCTTGAGTGAACTAGGCAAGTGCTCCGCCACCTTCCCAGGCTCCAGCCTTTATTAGGTGTTTTGTTTTAGATTTATTTTATGTGCATGAGTGTTCTGTCTGCGTGTGTATCTGTGTGCCACGAGTGGTGCCCACAGAGGTAAGAGCAGGTGTCAGATCCCAAGTAACTGGAGTTACAGACAGTTGTGAGCCACCCTGTGGGTGCTGGGAACTGAACCCAAGTCCTCTGCAAGAGCAGCCAGCGCTCTTAACCACTTGAACCATCTCTCCTGCCCCTTATTAGTTATTAATTAGTCAGTAAAGCAAGAAATAAGCAGCTTTCTCTCAATAGTGGAAACGAACAAAAGGAACTAAATCCATCTTCTCTGCAGTGGATGTGTACACCAAGAACTCAGCCCACTCCAACTAACGCCCCAGGGTTAATAAAGAAATTTAGAAATTGACAAGACTTAAGGTAAATCAATTTAGTCTGGCGGTGGTGGCACACCCATTTAGTCCTAGCACTTGGGAGGGAGAGGCAGGCATATCTCTGAGTTCAAGGTCAGCCTGGTCTACAGAGCAAGTTCCAGGACAGCCAGGGCTGCACAGAGAAACCCTATCCAAAAAAAAAAAAAAAAAAAAAAAAGAGAGAGAGAAATCAATTTTAAAAATCAATAGCTTTAATCTGTAGTAAGTAATTAAAAGTGGAAGTGAGAAGACCTATTTGTAATTGCAACAAAAAATTATTTGATGCCTGGAAGGAGACTTGAAATGGAAATTATAGGGACCAGCAAGTAGAAGATTAAAGTATTATTGTGTTGGTATGCTTAGGGTGCTGTAACAAATTACCACAGACTGGGTGGGTGGCTTAAGCTACAGAAACTGATTTTCTCCCAGGTCTGGTCAGTAGAGCAAGATCAGGTGCTGACTAAACTTGTGGTGCAGTGGGTGGCCACCTTGTTCAGTGTGTGCATGTGAGGACAGTGGAGTTAGAACTCTGGTCTCTGCTCAGGAGAATACTCACCCTATTGAATCGAGCCCCCACCCTAGGGCTTCTTTTAACTCTTCCAAACACCTGGCGTTTAGAGCGTCAACATGAATTAAGGTTGGGGACACAAACATTCAACCCACAAAAAGGATAAAAAATAAACCCTGAGCAGAAAATCAGGAAAAAACCTCAATCCTGCCAGGTGTTTAATCCCAGTGTTTGGGAGGCAGAGGAAGCCTCTGTGAGTTCTAGGCCAGCCTGGTCTACATAGCAAGTTCCAAGCCAGCCAGCTGTCTCAAAAGGAGAAAAAAATCTTAATTCTTCCATTTTTATAGCTATATAAGGTCTGTCTGGTTCCCTGTGTGTGTGTAGAGACAGAATATGAATGTGTATGTGTGTTATAACATGGATGTACCTGGAAAACTTCATGCTTAAGTTAAGGAAGCCAGAGTCAAAGGCTACACACTGTATGATCCCTTTCATAGGGAACAGCTAGGCTAGGCAAACCCATAGAAAGACGCATGAGCCGGGGGTGGGGAGGATGGGGGAAGGGGAGAGACTGCCAATGAGGACAGAGGATGAAAATATTCTGAAACTGAGTAGCGATGGCAGTTAACCAGTGTTATGATGGTACGAAAAACCACTGCATTGTACTCCCCTTGAAGAGTGAATTTTATAGGATATGAATTATGTCTCAATTTAAAAGCTTGTGAGGAACTTAGAGTAGCTATTATAGAATGAATATACACATAGATGAATGGACGGGAATTGAAGTAGAGTAGGCCCAAGAACGCATGGAAAGCTGAACACGGGGTTTTTCAGCTCAGTGGGACAAGGCATATTGATTCAATAACCGGAGCCGGCGTGATTCAATTTCCATGTGCATCCAGGAACACATTATAGACCTAAATGCTAAGAATAAAACAATGGGCAAGGTGGGATGGCCTGTGCCTTTACTCCCTGCTACTTAGGAGGCTGAGGCAGGAGGATCATTTGAGCATAGAGTTCAAGACCAGCCTAGGCACCACAGTGAGATCCTGTCTCAAAATCAGTCAATCACCGGGAGTATTAGAGATGGAGTAGATGTAGCCCTGCCCTCTGGGTTACTAAGGAGAGTGGTAAGAGCTGTGGGACAGGTGGGCTGACCTCCTGGGCCTTGGGTACCGATTTGAGACAAGGATGCCAGTTAGTGACTCCAGGGAGGCTCATCTATGATGAGACATGGGTTCTTACCCCACGAGGCTGCAAGGCATAGCATGGCCTAGGGCAGCCCCAGGGTCAGTAAAGCCAGCCTTTGTGTCTACTGCCTGGTTTCAAGCAGGAGAACCAGTGCTGGGGGCTCATGGCTCATTGTCCCTTTAGCAGGGGCTACCCCTTTCCCCCCCACCCCTTTCCCCCCACCCCTTTCCCCCCACCCACAAGGTACACATACTCTCTACCTCTCCATCCCCTTAGAGATGGCAGACATCAGAAAGGCCAGAGCTTGACACAGCTGCATCTGCCTCAAGCTCCCTGAAGCTCAGAGGTTAGTCTGTTCCCTCTCTAGGAAGCCTGGGTCACAGCCTGTCCCCAGAGTCCTCTGCTACCGCCTCCCACCTGCTTGGGTCCACACGAATCAGGCATTACCTTCTGGATGATACACTGGCTGCCTTCAAGATCTGCCCTAGAAAGTACTTCAGGGTCTTGGATTTGTTCCATTTGGGTAATTTCAGGAAAAATTGGGGTTTTGCTGCCACTTCCGCAGCTACTAGGTTTTAAGCAAATGTTTTTAAAATCCTGAACTGAAGCGGGAGGAGTCTGCGGTCCTGTGGAAGCAAGCATCCGGGTTCCATTTGGGGTGAGCGGTCTGACTCCGCTGATCTGCAGAGGTTTACCAGGGTGGCCCTTACTCGAGTAATCCCCCCCCCCCCTCCGCCACAGCTGACCTAGCCTCCCCACATGGGGCCAGCAGCTCCTAGAGAAGCCGAATCACTGGGGCTGCACTGGCCTTGACCAGGGCACCCTGTGATTCATGGTCATTATCTCATTTGAAGCTCAAGGCAGCTGCAGACGGTGAAATTGACTCTTGGTGATGGATGAGGAGGGAGGCTGCACAAGGTCACGTAGGCTGTCTGCTGCACGGAGGGCCAAGGACCCAGGCTCTTCCCCCTGAGTGCAGCACATGGTGAAGCTCTCCTCTCCATCACCACGTGGCTGGCTTTGCCCTGCCTGATGGTTCAGAGGATTTTTCAAGGGAGGGAGTTACTGCTGGGCTACTGAAGAGGGGGTCTTGTGACAGCGGAGGGGCAGCCAGAGCTACCCTGCCTGTCTGTACTCTTGGCCACTCCCTCTGCCTGCTGGGTAGCTTGCATCAGGCTAAGTCCAGGGTGAGTTTCTGCACCGGCTTGTACCCCATCCACTCTCTTAGGACCCATATCCACAATCAGGAGGGAAGCAACCGGTCCCTCATTTCTGCCCAGAGCACCCTTTTAGCATCCAGCCACCATCAGATATAATGGATGGCACAGCCAGTGTCTTCCAATTAATTACCATCCAACCACAGAACTGAGTATTTTGTCTGACAGGGTAGTGAGCTGCCTGTCGGTGAGGGCATTCGAGAGGAGGTTGGATATTACAGGGAAGGATCTTCTGCGTCAGATACGGGAGAAGCTAATGACGGGGGCTATGAGTGTGTTTCCTGTTATGCCCCCACGTTGGCTCCAGTCTTGGGGTGGGAGGTAACTGTGGCCTGAGGCTGGGAAAGCCACACGGCCCATGCAGCTTTGAACCTGCGACCTGTCTCGTTAGCACGGAGCAGCAGCCGACTGAGCTAATAAGCAGGTTCCAGAGCCACTGATTTTCCATCGAGCGCAGACGCTGCTTCCTGACTCCTTAACGCGGCAAGCTATTTATACCCGTCGATCCATTCATTCCTAATGAGCCTCGGTTGTGGATTGTAAAATGTTTTATTTTCAGACAGGATTGCTCACTGCCCAGAGCCAGCTGTTGCTCTGCCTCCTTCCTTCCCTTCTCTGTTCCTGAGAAATTAGCAGTTTGGAAGCTCCTTGGAGCAAGCGCGCGCACGCACACACACACACACAGTAGCACACTTCCTCTGTGGACTCTGACCTGTCCGTTTTTTGTCACATTGGCTGGCCCTGGTACCTGAGTTCCCACAGCCTTCAGAGTACCTGGGAGGATATGTAGGGGCTGGGGCCCCTGCTGGCTGTAGCAGATGAAAGACAAGGCAGAGCAGGAGGGCATCCATGTTAGCAGGTAGAATGTCACCTGTCCGTGGGGGCTGAGACTCTGCCTATGTGACAGGTCACAATCTAGCAGTGACCTGATCTGGCTAGCTACTTAAAATGCACTGTCAAATTTTTTAACTGCAGAGAATTCTCACTTTAAAAAAAAAGAATGGAGTTCTGGCTTTTAAAAATTTAAAAATTCTTTTAAAAATCAGAAGATCTGCCAATGGCGCCCTCTCGGAGGCAACAGCAGTATCCCCTTTTAATGATGGCGTGTTCTCGGTTTGCCACAGTCCCCGGCCCTCCCTCTTGTCTCCGGCAGTCTTTCCGTATTGCTGTACACGATCACTAAGGAGGGAGACCTGGGGTGCAGCTCCGTGGTGGGGTGCTTGCCTCGCACGCACCCAGCCTCGGCTTCCATCGCCAAACCACAAAGGAAAACGAAAAGTAGAAATTCTTCTGGGGTCCATGTCTCTGTGAAAAGAAAGACAATCAAAGCAGGGCTCTAAGAGGCACTTGTCAGAAGAAAAATGAGCGGGCTTCCCAGCGCTTCTCATGTCAGCCCCCTAGCTCGCTGTAGTGGAAGGCAGGGGCCTGGCCATGTCACATGTGTGAGTCCCTACACCTAATCCTGATACATAGCCCTTGCCCATTGCAGCTCTGCCTGCTGTGAGCACAGCGGAAACCGCATAGCCATCTCCCAGCCTTCAAGACAAGGTTTCCTGGGACGGTCTGTAGCTTTTGGGGCCTGTGGGGCTCCTGGGAGCGAAAACCTTGGTTATGAAATGGTGTTTTCCCGTTAGAACAGGGTCTGTTCTCTTCTAGTTTTCTTATCTTGGAGTTCAAGGACCCCTCCAAGGGTAAGGGCCTTAACAGAGGCATTTCAAACAGGCAGTCGATCAGGGAGGCCTCCCATACAGCAAAGACCAGCCTTCTGTGTGTCAGCCAACACTATCCCCCTTAACTTTCTCTCTCTCCCCCTCCCTCCCAGCATCACCATATGATGTTCATCATTGCCAACTTTGCTCCTTGCAGGGACCTTAGGGCCCTGCGATGCTGTGGGAAGTAACTGGGATTATTACTTTTTTTTAATGTAAAGATATCTGAAGCTCCCAAACAATACACAAGGACACACAGACCAAGAAGGACCAATTAGAGAGAGAAGGAGGAAGAGCCAGTGTGAATCATCTGAGAAGGCACCATTAGTCCCACAAGGCACCTCCAAGTCATTGAACCTGGTCTTCACAGCGCGGGGCTGCCATTTGGGTCAGGACAATAGGTAAAAGAGAGTCATAGTTTGTCTCAGCTGGGGGCGGGGTGGAGGACTTGAATGGCAGAGGCTAGGGAAGAGAAACTGCTGGGGGTGCTGGGGTTCCCGAGCCCACCGTGGCCTCACCCGAGGCCACCCCTGGCTCTGAGCCAGCTGCCCATCGTCTCTGTGGCTGTCTTTCTGCCAGGCCCAGCAGAGGGCTTAGGACCATTAGCTTTTGTCCTGTGCAGGCAGAAAGGACAGAAGTCAGGGGAGGCATCCAACAGCTCCGGTCACAGCTGCCACGGATTCCGGGTTTGCTCATGGTAGTCTGTGTGGGGCTCTGTGCATCTGGAACTTCATGAGGACAGCCTGGAATTGGGCACTGCCCTTGCTCACTTACAGAAGGGGACGCAAGATACAGAGTCCGAACAGCGTGTGTGGTAGTCTCCGCATAGAGAGAAGGAAATGCCTGCAGCATTCTGGAACTGCGCCTCTGCTAGCTCTCAGGGATAGAGGCCACCACTCTTGTGTGGCCATGGCCGTGGCCCTGCTTTAAAAGGAAAGCCCATGCATGTGGCCTCATCCTGCCTTTTGAGCCCTTGGTTATGCTGAATAGCAGCCTCAAAACGGGGCCTCTAAACAGGGAAGAGTCTCCACTCTGCGTCTCTCCCAGCAGCCCCCTGCCTGTCCCAACGTCTTTGCTGGCTTAGAAATTGATTTCCCAGAGCAGAAGGCCCTCATTAGCCACACCACAAAGGTTAGGGGCATGGCTGTCGCCTCTAATTTGCCCAAACCCGATGATAGCCTCAGCGGATTAGTCAATTCCAGATGCAAGGTGAGGTCTTGAGGTGCCAGGCCCTCATGGAAGCTGTGTCTGACTCAAGTGCAGCCCAGGGGCACAGAGATGCCCCTGGGGCCAGCTGGGCTGAGCTCTCTGTACAAGTACAGTATGACTTTCTGCAGCCGCCCATCTGACTTGCTGGCTAAACCTACAACTTAATTCTACGCATTCTAGACTGAATGGCCTTTGGGAACGTGGGTAAAGTGAGTGAACCAGGCCTCCCTCCCTGCCTGGTTCCAATAAAGCCCTGGGGGTAATAGAGCAGCCTCTGCTGTACACCAGTTCCTCTCCTAGACTTCCTGTCCATGCCAGAGCAAGGTTGGCATTGCCGAGGTCCCCAGCTGATCCTTCACTTCTCTCAGGGGCCTGGCAGAGAAGAGGACCCACAAGAAAGAGGCAGCTTGCCCTGCCTTGATTGCCCCCAGAGTAGTCATCAGAGCCAGGCAAGACAGGTAGCCCATCCTCCTGCCGGAGTCTGAACACAGACACCCTGGGGCCGAGGCTCTTCTAGATTTAGAACTGACAGATTATAGGAACAGAGACCCAAGGGGACTCCCGACACCTGGAGACCAGGAAAGGGAGAGAGAGGGAGAGAGAGAGAGACTTAAAAATGTGTGAGAACACACATGGTGATACCTACCTGTGACCCCAGATCTTTAACCTGCTGAGCCGTCTTACCAGCCCCAAAGAGACTGTTTTCAAAACAATACATCTGAGAGAGAGGCACAAGCTGAAGTCAGGAGGAAACAAAGACTCATGGCACCTGCCAGCCCAGACAGGCAGGAGAGACATGGCTCCTGTTTGGTGCCCGCTAGAAACCAGAGCAGTCATCTGTCCCAGAGCAGGACAGAGCAGACCCAAACCAGCTCATCTCCTTCCCCCGAGGGCCTCAGCCAAAGAGCTTCCTCATCCCTAAAGAGCCCACTGCTGGGCCTTGCCTTTCCCTAGACAGGCCTTCTGTCTGGAAGGCCTGGCATACCCTGGGCCTACTTTTGCATCTGCTTAAATGGCATCCCTTTGTAAATCCCTCCTCCTCCGGGAAGCTCTCTCTGACTTCTCTCCCCGAATACTGTCTTTCCCACACTGTCAGGCTCTACCCCATTCTGTATATCCCATTCTCTCTGGTGGCAGCAGCTCTTACCATCCTCCTCCTATCCAGAGCGCCTCATTCCAGGTCAGGGACCACAGGGTTTCCACACCGGCAACCACATTTCTATTGATCTGTGGATTTGTCTTCATTAACTGGTGCCTCCTATCTGTCTGTGAGCCTGAAGGAGAGAGAAAATTAAAATCGATGTGAATGAATAAGCCAGCACTGGGACCCCTCCTAGCCCCAGCTTGGACTTGACAGAGAGCTCTCTGCTGCCCACTTGCCCCTTCCTGTCTGGGGTCATCCTCGGAGCCTCTAGGGGCAGCCTGGAAGGGGTGCCAGGGAAGGAAAGCACCCCAGTACCGCCCCTAGTATGCCATGGGGTCCTGTGACTGTCCCTAGCTACACAGTAGGTCCGGTGGATGCATACCATGACTCCTGTCGCCTGGTCCCAGGAGGGAAGGGCAGGTAGGCACTGAGTCTCTTCTGGCTGCCAATGGCCATTCCTGGAAGGACAGGTTTTCCCCCACAAGCCTTGGGCAATCCCCCTTCCTGGCTAGAGCCCTGGGGACAAAGCAGAGGAAGAGCCCACTGTTCCCCTCCCAACCCTCAGGGACAACTCATCCGGTGTCCATGGCAAGTGGCTTCCCACCCTCCACTCCAGTCCCTGTCCAGGCTGAGGCCTGGCACATCCCCTTTGAGTGTCCTTCCGGGAGACAGTGGTGCCTGGCTGGCATCACTGAGGTGACCCCGGGACTCTGAGGTCACCTGTCCTGCTGGCCTGGTGAACTACTCGCTGGCACGCACAGCTGTCCCCCTGGGAAAGGTTCTCAGAGAATAGTCAGCAGATGGCTTTATCTAGGGCTGGGGCCGGCTCAGGGAAGGAGATGAAGTCTGGTCACAGGCTGGCCTTGCCCTGGGGTAGCTCCTGGCAGGTCAGAGCAGGAAAAGCAGGACGTGGAGGCAGCCAGGTGGGTGGGCTATGGGCAGAAGAAACAGGGCTGAAGGGATCCCTGGGCATTGCATTGAAGTCTGATTCTTAAAAATTATTTTTATTTTATGTGCATTGGCGTTTTGCCTGCGTGTATGTCTGTGTGAGGGTGTCAGATCCCCTGGAACTGGAGTTAGACAGTTGTGAGCTGCCATGTGGGTGCTGGGAATTGAACCCAGGTCTTCTGGAAGAGAAGCCAGTGCTTTTAACCGCTGAGCCATCTCTCCAGCCCTGATTTTTAAAAATCTTATCAGCTTGTGTAGTATTTGGACTTTTTTCCCTGCTGGATCGAGTCTTATTGAGTTACTCTGCCTCTCTCTTCTCCTTCCTCCTGTCCATTTCACAGATGAGACGATTGAGGCGCAGAGTGAGGTATTTGCCCAGAGGTATCCAAAGCAGAACCAGAGTTCAAGCCAAGGCAGTGGGTATGCGTGAGACAGCCTCCCCCATGCCAGGGCCAGCAGCAAAAGACCCAGAGGACACAGAAGGGCCCTCGTGGAGAGAGGGATGAACTAGCCATCTGGAGGGGGAGGGTTCCTGAGAGTGCTCATTAGGTGAGACAGGGGCATGGACACCATGTACATGCTGGGCAAGATGGGAGAGCGAGGATCCCAGCCAAAGATCCCAGCTCAGCTTCTAAACATCCTCTGAGGGCATGCAGTGCTCTCCTCCTCCTATAAAACATGATTGAGGGTCCACACTCCCCCAGGAGTCAGCCTCACCCCTGGGAGGTGGGACTTGGCCCAGAGCATGGAAACTAGGCCCATACTAGGGGACATGAGCCCATGATGGATGTCCCTTTTCTCTTTGAGTGCTCATAGCCACTAGAGAAGGATCCATCATTCATCCATGGCTCCACCAAGTACAGATGTAAAGAAAACAGCCTAAAGGTTCACATCTGGGAAATGACAGGGGACGGCACAACCCAAGTCTACGGCTCAGCTGGTCCCCCTTCAGCATCCCATGATCCCTGGCTGCTGCCACCAAAACAGCCCCCCCCCCAAACAGACACCTATTCTTGAATTATGGGTGGCAGGGCCAGCTTGGTGGCCAGGGAGGACTTACTGGGGGTGCCTGTGCCCTCCCCAAGGCCCGATTATCATTCCTTTACGTTAAAAATATTTTTTGTTGTTTTTAGTATGCAAAATTTTCCACCATCTGCTGCTTCTTGGCAGGATGTTGGAAATATCTCCCTACTTCCCTAACTCCCATAGCTTCTGGAGACTTTGGGCTCCTTGGAGCAGAACAGCCACTGCTCCCGAAGGTCTTCCAGGCTCACAGCCTGCCACCATCTTTGAAGGTAGATGTGGTGTGGCCCAGGATGGGGCATGGTTTCCCAGCTTTTTAGAGAGTCACCTCAGCAGCTTGTCTGCTGCTGGGCTGACCTCACACCCAGGTAGCTGCTGGGTCAGTCTCTTGGTTTTTGCCATGAATCTTGAAGAGGTGCCTGGGATCATGGACAGAGGTAATGGCTAAGCAGAGCCTGGAGACAGGTCCCCAAGCCCCCATCCCTGTCCCCTGAGCCATCCCAGCTAGGTGTCTTGACAGGACAGCAGCTGCCACATGTGTCCTGTGAGACATTCAAGGGAGAGTTTCCAAAAAGGAAGAGTTCCCCCCCGCCCCGACACCCCGCCTCATGTACCAAAACTCAAGAGTTTCCATGGTGACAGTCAAATTGCAAATCTGTCCAAGAATGAGCTAGAGGGGAAAAAAAAATAAAACTGCCCATCCCCAGAGAAACAGGCCTGGCTGGCTTTAAGCTGCCCATCCGCTGCTGAGGATGAGGGCCCAGCATGATGGGAAAATCTCAGGGATGACAGAGCCTCCAGCAAGTGGACCAGGAAGTCAGATGGCCGGGAAGGAAACCAAGATGGGAGGCTCCCCTCCTACCTCGTGGTGGAGCCCTCTGAGTACGGGTGAGGATACCTTCCACAGGCTCTCAGACCATTGAGTGTCTCCCAGGGTTTTCCTACCTCCGTTAGAAAGCCAAAGCATGGCGGAATACAAGCACTTGTCCCCTGACCTGTCCCAGGTCTGGCCCTTAGCCACTCCTAGCATCTTGTAGAGGATGAAGAGCAGAGGTGAAAGATTTACGAGCCTGAAAGCTTCATTTAGATGCTGGAGGATTTACAGTCCCAGCCACCATTCAGAGGGAAGGCAGCATTGGTACTCGGGTGGCAAAGTACCTAGGTTTGGGTTTTATGGGAACAGGAAAGAGAAAAGCCTGCTTCCTTGACCACTGGAAGAAGCCACGGCTACTTGGGCAACATATTCGTGAGACTCAGGTGTTCGCAGCCTCTTCTGGGTCTCTTTCCCTAGTGGCCAGCCATTGGGCAACCCTACCTTCTTTAGCTTTTTGAGAGCAGACTGGAGATGAGATTTGAGTCTTCAGAACGAAGACCTGATGGCTACAGCTTAGCCCCAGCTTAAAACCCCCAGGCATGGGGCTGGGCACATGACTCAGTCAGCAAAGTGTTGGTTGCACGAGCCTGAGGAGCCAGGGTTCCGCTGCCCGGCACCCATGTGAAAAGCTGACACAGCGGCTCACACCTGAAAGCCTAGCACTGGGCAGGCAGAGACGGGCAGGTCCCGGGGCTCGCTAGCCAGTGAGTCTCAAAAAAAGAGGTAGAGGGTGATAGAGGAAGACATCCAGTGCCAACCTCGGACTTCTGTGTATGCACGCACACACTTGATACCAAAGCCTGGCCCAGCTTAAAACCCCGGGTACAAAGAGGCCAGGCAAGGGAACAGAAAGAAATGAGTCTCTGGGACAGCTGGATGGTCCCTGCCCTGTGATCCCATGGTGAGATCAATTGGCCCTGGAGGCTGTTCCCTCTTTTCCATGGTTGCACCCTTTGGGGTTCACAGGAGACGAAGAATGAGTCAAATGAGAGTAACGGGGGACCTTTCCAGAATTTGTCTTGTTTCTGTGACTTCTTTTAACCCTCATACAGCACAGGTACCCTTGGGGACCAGGTGATGGGCACCTCCCCCCACCTCCAGGGCTGTGCTGTTTTGGACAGGACATACAACTCTCCATAAATCCTATCTAGCAACTTGAGCCTGCTCCCAAACCCACTCTTGGAACATGTACAATAGACCACGGAATGCAAGGGATGCCTCCATAACCAACTCCTGGAACATCCAACCCCATCATCCCTGCTGGGCCCCTTGGCATCTCAGAGCCCTGTCCCCAGCCCAGCTCCTAATTACTGTCCCCAGCTCAGCCACAGGAAGATGGAATATTTCCAGATCAGGAAGTGTTGATAGATCATGCATAAATGTCTCTGCCAGGGAGGTGGAGAGACCACTGTGGAGGTTAGTCACCAGCCCTCATAGGTACTGCCTAGCCCCATTAGCATTAGCTAGCTCCCATCCTGTGTTCCTTTATTGCCCCAAAGAGGGGGAGGGGCGCACTGGGAGCTACTTACTCCCAGTATCTTAACAGCAGCCCCACTTCCTGCCCACTGCCTCCCACCTTCTGTGTCTGGGGCCCTGTGGGGTTAGTGTTTAGTCAGCCCAGCAGTGAGTCAAAACCACGTGTTCGTAGCACGGATGCCGGTGGGGTCCGGTCTCAGTGGATTCATGTTCAGTTCAGACCCGAAAAGGAACTGCAAAGTCAGTCAGGTTCTTACGTGTAATTCTCATGAACCCACCCCCATCCCTCTTCATCCCCACCTCCTCTTGGTTCTGTCTGAAAAGGCCAAACCGGAAGTCTTGCCAGTGGCGTATGAGAGAGCGAGCCAGAGTAGAAAAGGGTAAGAGGCTGGAGCAGAGGAAGAAAGGCCAGGGACAGTCACATAGTCATCACTCAGGAATGCACACAAGCCTCCTCCTGGTGGACAGGGGTGTGGACGAGGTGGTGGGAGTCTTTCAACAGATCTGTGTGGCTGAGACACCCTGACTGAGCAGAGAGTGAGTTTACAGACGCATCCACAGGAGGAGACACTTACGGTCATCCTGGTGGGATGAGGAAGGGTCGTAGATGGAGGAAGTTAAGTCTAGTGATGATGGTGAGGCAGCGGCAGACTCAACATCTACTGAAGAGGGCTGGCGAGTGCCCAGTTGGTGGGTGCTTGCCTGGCATGCACAAAGACCTGGGTATGGGCCCCAGCATCATAAAACTAGGCATGGTGAGGGCTGGAGAGATGGCTTAGTGTTAAGCCTGCATACTGCTCTTGTAGAAGACCCAAGGTCAGTTCCATACCTATTATCAGGTGGCTCACAACCTCCTATAACTCCAGGGGGATCCAATGCCTCTGGCCTTCATGGGCACCCGTACTCATGTGCATATACCTGCACTGACATGCATGCATGCACGCGCGCGCGCACACACTCTTAAACTTTAAACAAACATGATGGTATGTACCCAAATTCCCAGCATGTAAGTGGTAGAGGCAGGTGGATCAGAAATTCAAAATCATCCTTGGCTACATAGCAATTCAAGGCCATCCTGCCTCAAAAAAAAAAAATCATTTCGGTGGTAACCCTGATAGGACAGGTAAAGCAAGGTGAGCACTCTGTCACCATCAGACCTTCCTCAAGCACCTACTGTGTGCTGGCTACTGTTAACAGCTGAAGGCTAAAATGTTTAGCCAGCTCCAACTTCGGCTACTTGTTTCTGTGATCTGAGACCCTCAGCCAGAAAATGGCATATGCTAAGACACAGACTTTCTAGAAGGCTCTGGATCCAGGTGGGAGGCCCCTTCCCTCCACTTATTCCCACAGAGAAGTTCCCTAACTGACCAGCACTTCTGTGGATGCCTCATTGCCCTCTCAGAAGAGAGAACGCAGCCCCCAGAAAGGGCCTGGCGGGTCAGCTGGAGCCTGGTAGCCAGCCTGGACAGGGAGAGGTTGTGGTCCTCTTCCGGCAGAGGGAACCTTAGGCTCCTGAGCCTGGAGGAGGAAACCTCACTTGCGGATAGCCTAGTGAAGTGCTTTGGGAAGCCCTCGACCCCCCCACCCCACCCCAGCACTTGGCATTTCAGA